AAAAAAAAAAAAAAAAAAAAGAATCACCTGGGAAGCTGAAAAGGTTATATACTGTATGATTCCAACAATATGACATTCTGGAAAAGGCCAAATCTATGGAGACAGTAGACAGTAAAAAGATGAGTCGTTATTAAAGGAAGAAGGGAGCAGGAGAGATGAATAGGTAAAGGACAGGATTTTTAGGGCAGCGAAACTTTTTTTTTTTTTTTTTTGAGATGGAGTCTCACTCCATCGCCCAGGCCTGGAGTGCAGTGGCGCGATCTCGGCTCACTGCAACCTCTGCTTCCTGGGTTCAAATGATTCTTCTGCCTCAGCCTCTGGAGTAGCTGGGAATACAAGCACCCATCACCATGCCCGGCTAATTTTTATATTTTTAAGAGCCAGGGTTTCACCATATTGGCCAGGCTGGTCTTGAACTCGTGACTTTGTGATCTGCCTGCCTGGGCCTCCCAAAGTGCTGGGATTACAGGCGTGAGCCACCACACCCGGCCACAGCAAAACTATTCTATGTGACACTGTAATGGTGAATACATATCATTATACATTTGTTAAAACCCATAGAATAGTACAACTCAGTGAGTCCTAATGTAATCTGTGGACTTTGGTTAATAATAATGTATCAAGATTGGCTCATAAATGGAAGCAAATGTATCCCAATACAAGATGTTAATAATAAGAGAAATTGGTTGGCGGGAGGTGGCGGTTGAGGGGATATATGGGAACTGTCTGTCCTTCCTTCTTTCTTTTCTTTTATTTCTTTTATTTTTTTTTTTCAAAGGGTCTCACTCTGTTGCCCAGGCTGGAGTGCAATGGCGTGATCTCAGCTCACTGCAACCTCCACCTCCTGGGTTCAAGCAATTCTGCTGCCTCAGCCTCCTGAGTAGCTGGGATTACAGGTACCTGCCACCATGCCTGGCTAATGTTTGTATTTTTAGTAGAGATGGAGTTTTGCCATGTTGGCTAGGCTGGTCTCGAACTCCTAACCTCAAGTGATCCACCCGCCTCAGCCTCCCAAAGTGCTGGGATTACAGGCGTGAGCCACCACTCCCAGCCCTGTCTGTATCTTCTGCTCAATTTTTCTAAAAACCTAAAACTGCTAAAACAATTTTTTAAATATAAAATATATTTTTTAAAAAAATCCTGACACCCAGACTACATCCTTGACCATTTGACCCAGAATCTCTGAAGGTGGAATGTAGGCATGAGGATTTTTAAAAAACTCCCTCGGAGATTCTAGAACTGCCCCTTCGAACTGAATGGGGAGTTGGGGGTTGGGGTGGAGGGAGTAGGCCGACTGCAGTAGGGAGCCCTTTCTCAGCTTTGGGGTGTGTTTCGCAGGGAGGTAGATAGATATTGGCACAGATTGCCTTAAAGAAGCAGGAGCGCCTGAGGGCACGGAGAATCTGGTCCCTGTGAACGCTCCAGTGCCTTAGGCACGGTCCCTCCTGGACTCTGGTGGGGACCGAGTGAGAAGTTTAGTAGGTGCCCTCCTGTGCTGCAATTCTGCATCGATCTGGTGACCATTTCGATGAACCCACCGAGGGATTTTTCCAGCTGCTGAATAGACCTTGGAGGGCGGGGTCCACCTTGACAAGCAGAGGCAGGGACTGAGAGGAGGCAGTGTCCCGCAGGAATGGGTAGGCCTGAAGAGCAATGGGAGCAAGGCAAGAGGGTGGGACAGGAGTGGGGAGGGCATCCAGAGGGGCTGGCGGGGCCTTGAGCACCAGGCCGAGCACCATGGGGACTATGGCAGGGTTCTGAGAGGGGCATGGTCAGGTGGGTACTCAGAAAGATCACTCGGGCAGCCAGGGAGGGCATGGACCAGTGGGCCAAGGATCAAGGCTAGGAGACCAGTGAGGAGGCAAGAGATGGAGAGGGCTGCCTTTGAGGGGCTCCAGTGGGGGGGAAGAAATGAGAACAAGATGGGCTTACTGGTCTTGGTGTCTGGGGAGCTTCTGCCTGGAAGCTTGGGGGACCCCCGACTCCTTCCTCTCCCACCTGCATGGCCAGCCCACGCATGGTCTTGTCACTCTGGCCTCCCGCATATTCCTCATGTCCGTCTGCTTCTTTCCATCCTGGCCACATCCTACTAGCATCCCTTGAGTGGACACTTGAGTTAATCAAACCCAAAGAGAGGGTTGTGGGAACCCCAACTGGAAGCCGGTGGGACAGAAACTCCAGAGTCTTAGACTTGTGACTGGTGTCTGAATGAGGGACCGTCTTGTGGGCTTGCGTCAACCTGTGGGATCTGATACTGCTTCCTAGTAGACAGTGTGAGAATTGAGTTAGAAGACATCCGGCTGGTGTCTGCCGCGGAAGGGATATGCGGGAGGGGGGCACCCACACAGTTGGTCTCAGAAGTCTTCTGTGTTCACTGCTGTGCTGTGAGAGCAGAAGAAAAAGTTTGCATTTTTTGCACTCAAACCCCATGGGAGGTGGGCGTGGTGGCTCACGCCTGTAATCCCAGCACTTTGGGAGGCCGAGGCGGGAGGATCACCTGAGGTCGGGAGTTCAAGACCAGCCTGGCCAACATGGTGAAACCCCGTCTCTACTAAAAATAAAAAAAATTAGCCGGGGCGTGGTGGCGGGCGCCTGTAATCCCAGCTACTCGGGAGGCTGAGGCAGGAGAATCGCTTGAACCCAGGAGGCGGAGCTTGCAGTGAGCCGAGATCGCGCCATTGTACTCCAGCCTGGGCGACAGAGCAAGTCTCAAAAAAACCCAAACAAACAAAATACCCCACGGGAGTATTCCCATTATACCAATAAGGGAACTGAGGCTCCTCCAATGACTTGCCAAAGGTCACACACTGTTTAAGTAGCAAAGCTTGGATTCAAGCTCAGGGCTGTGTGACCTCAATGATGACTCTTTTCATCACTGCCCTGGAGGGCCGTACCATAGGAACAGAGGTGCGGGGTCCTAAAAGTCTGTACCAGTGTCCAAGGCTAAGTGGGGATGGGAGGTCACTGGGCTGGTGTCACAGGCACTCCCGGACACCATAGGGACCTCTGCCCCAAGAGAAGCGGCTATGGCTCCTACCTGGACCAGACCTTGGCCTCCTGAGCCCCTGTGAAACAGGTAGTTCTTCCCAAGGAGTGGCCACGGACCCACCCAGGAGCCCCAGCTGTACCCTGGATTGCAGCCTCGTCACCTCCTGAGCCAGCCCTTCCCTCTCCCTCCCTCCCCCAAGAGCACCTCTCACCACTGTCCTGCTCAGGGACTTAGGGTGCCTCAGGCGCTTCCAGAAAATTCAACAAAGCCAGCTGTTCCAGCTGTTGAGAAAGAAAGAACATGTATCCAGATGCAGAAAATGTACACACAAGCCTTTTTTTTTTCTTTTTAACTCAAGAAAGGGCTTTTATTGTTTGTAACTCACTTCCTGGGAAGTTAATTTTTAAAACACTCTTATAGAGTTTGCTCATCGCTTGTGCTACATTCAAAAACGACGACGCCAACCAAAACCCTCAGTGACGGGGTAAGCATCCCAGCTGAGTCCACCCCAGAGCTTTCCAAGGGTGGGTCTGATTGACGTGGTCCCCCCCAGACCAGACGCTCAGAGATGCTCAAGACACACTCGGGGATCAGTGATTGGCTCTTCACTTGCCTTCCACTAACTCTATAAAAGTGTTCTTAAAAACAGTATGGAATAACTTCTTAAGCCCTGGGCCACACTCTGCCTTAGCACAGAGGAGCCGGGGAGAAACGTGGACCCATTGACAACGGGGCACATTCGGCTCCTATAGCCTTAAATAGACGTAGAAACGGTAACAGATGCGTGTACCAGTGCAGGACATACGAGTGAGCTGTGTGCAGCAGATGAGCACGCGCACGCGTGTGCGCGTGGAGGCGCGACATGCACCCACAGGCGCGGAGATGCAGCGGGATCCGGGTTTCTCCCCCAGCCAGCCTCCCTTCTCCAAACAAGCCCTCCTCCAATGGGAAACCCACACCTGTGGCCAAAATCCCTCGTCCATCCATGTTTCCAGGGCAGGTCTGCGTCCTGTGCGATTTCCCTGTGAGGGTCAACCTCTACGAGCATTTGGTCAGCCAACGCCAAGCCGGCCAGCCGGACACTGATCCCAGAGAGGAGGCGAAGGCTGCTTCGGAAGAGTTGTGTCTGCACGCGCTCCAGCACCCCCGCTCTGAGCAGGCTGACGGCTGATGTCCTCAGGGTGAGGCAGCTGCCGCAGAGGCCACCTGCCGGCGTGCACACCCCTCCAGGTTCTGTGTCTCGTGATCCCTCCAACCTGGACAGTTTGTCCTTCATTGTAGGAATGTGAGTGCAGCTCTTGGGGCCAGATTCGTAGGCCAGTGTAGGATGAGAGGCTGGGTTCCAGTTATTTCAGCATGTGCAGGGCCACAGGCCTGTCGCGTCCGTGGCCCTCAGTCAAAGTCAGCCCTGGTGTCTTCTCCAGCCTCAGCTCTGGGGAACCATCAAAGGAGGGAGATGGGCAGGGACAATGTGGTGCTTCTGCTTCAGACCTCTGCTCAGAGCTTGATTCCGTTCAGCCCACTTTCCAGATAACGCTGAATGCGAAACACAGTCCAGGAAAGTTAGCTCCGTCCACTCGGCTGCCAAATAATGGTGGGGTGTGCTGGGAACCACCGAAGCTGTAGGAAAGCTCGTGAGATGTTCCCAAGCAGGGCCTCTCCCCTGAACCCCCAGGTTAAAAACAAAAGCAAAAGACAACAAAAAGGAATCAGAATTCTCCAACACTGGCCCTCTCCCCAGTGAGGGGTCCGAGCCCGCACACCAGCATTTGAGTAGACAAGAGCTCTGGTGCCACCACCCCAAGGTGGGCAGGGTACCCCCCTCTCCACCATATGCCTGTGGCAGCTGAGCCAGGCCTGCCCGGCCCCAGCATGAGGTCTCTTCAGTTGCAGTAAGCCAGGCCTCCACCTGCCATCTTGGTCTCCTGCCTCTGCTCCTGCCCTGGGCCATGCCAACCAGCCAGGTGGCGTTTCTGAGGCTCCATGGGCACCTGGTTTCCCCACAGAATGGGTCAGGCCAAGAAGGGCCAGGAAGAGGAGGATGGCCTCGTGGGAGCCCTGCCCCCAAGACCCCAAATGACATACATTCCAGTCCTGTCCCTGGACGTGCGTGCGTGGAGGTCATGCAGCACGATGGGGGAGGGGCGGGAGCGGGGCTGCAGTCCCCAGCCCCCTGCCCGCGGGGGCGGCTGTTGCATGAGGGCGGTGGGCGTCTGGAGGCACGGGATGAGTGTGCTGCCGGGTGGCCCTGGGTGCATGCAGGGGCTCAGGATGCAGCCTCGTCTTCCTGGACGCCGGGGAGCTCTGGGCTCTTGCCCCCTTCGCCACACCCTTCTTTCCTGTTCAGGGGACACCAGGGACAGAGGGACCTCAGGGTCAGAATATACCCTCAGGGGGATACTCTCCCTCACACACATAGGAATTTGAATCCCAGAATCTCTCAAAGCCTCCTTCACCCACTGCCCCAAGCTTGGCCTCCCTCTGGCCTCCCTACATCACAGCAATTGCTCCTTGGCGGTCTCCCAGCCCCCAGCCTCAGCCCACAGTGCCTCCATGGCACCCCACTGACCAGAGATGAGGTCTAAACCTCCCAGCACGGCCTCTGGAGCCTCTCACAGTCTGACCCAGCTGACTTCCCTACATCCTCTGACTATCAGCCTGGTCAAGGGCCTTCTCTCTGTGTGTGTAGTTTTGTTGTTGTTGTTTTGAGACAGGGTCTTGCTCTGTTGTGCAGGCTGGAGTGCAGCGGCGCGATCTCAGCTCATTGCAACCTCTGCCTCCCAGGCTCAAGCGATCTTCTCACCTCAGCCTCCTGAGTAGCTGAGACTACAGGCACATACCACTACACCCAGCTAATTTTCTTTTTTTTTTGAGATGGAGTCTCGCTCTGTCGCCCAGGCTGGAGTGCAGTGGCGCGATCTCGGCTCACTGCAAGCTCCGCCTCCCGGGTTCACACCATTCTCCTGCCTCAGCCTCCCAAGTAGCTGGGACTACAGGCGCCCGCCACCACGCCCGGTTAATTTTTTGTATATTTTTAGTAGAGACGGAGTTTCACCACATTAGCCAGGATGGTCTCGATCTCCTGACCTCGTGATCTGCCCGCCTCGGCTCCCCAAAGTGCTGGGATTACAGGCTTGAGCCACCGCGCCCGGCAGCCTAATTTTTTTATCTCTATAAAAACAGGGTTTCACCATGTTGCCCAGGCTGGTCTCAAACTCCTGGGCTCAAGCGATCTTCCCACCTCAGCCTCCTGAGTAGCTGAGACTACAGGCACATGCCACTACACCCAGCTAATTTTCTTTTTTTTTTTTGAGATAGAGTCTCCCCCTGCAGCCCAGGCTAGAGTGCAGTGGCGCGATCTTGGCTCACTGCAAGCTCCGCCTCCCGGGTTTACGCCATTCTCCTGCCTCAGCCTCCTGAGTAGCTGGGACTACAGGCGCCCGCCACCTCGCCCGGCTAATTTTTTGTATATTTTTAGCAAAGACAGGGTTTCACCGTGTTAGCCAGGATGGTCTCGATCTCCTGACCTCGTGATCTGCCCGCCTCAGCTTCCCAAAGCGCTGGGATTACAGGCATGAGCCACTGCGCCCAGCCTAATTTTTTTATCTCTATAAAAACAGGGTTTCACCATGTTGCCCAGGCTGGTCTCAAACTCCTGGGCTCAAGCGATCCATCCACCTCAGCCTCCTAAAGTGTTGGGGTTATAGGCGTGAGTCACGGAGCCTGGCCTGAGGGCCTTCTGTGTGGACCTCAGTCAGCCCCCAGCAGATCTGGGTAGAGGGGCTTTCATTTTGCTTTTTTCTTTGCCTTGTTCACAGGGCAGAGTCCATCTATCAGTCTTAGGATTCTGTTACATATTCAACAGATTTATGTGTCTAATTTTCCTCCCAAAATGTCTTTTTTTAAAAATAATCAGTAAATGGGTTTTGATATCTTTAAAAAGGACCAACCCCACTTTACTACAGAGTTTCTACAATTATCCCAAAGTATAAAAAACAGTTTATGGCCGGGCACAGTGGCTCACACCTATAATCCCAGCACTCTGGGAGGCTGAGGTGGGCAGATTACCTCAGGTCGGGAGTTCAAGACCAGCCTGGCCAACATGGTGAAACCCCGTCTCTAATAAAAATAGAAAAAGTAGCCGGTGTGGTGGTGGCGTGCACCTGTAATCCCAGCTATTTGGGAGGCTGAGGTGGGCAGATTACCTGAGGTCGGGAGTTCAAGACCAGCCTGGCCAACACGGTGAAACCCCGTCTCTAATAAAAATAGAAAAAGTAGCCGGTGTGGTGGTGGCGTGCACCTGTAATCCCAGCACTTTGGGAGGCTGAGGCAGGAGAATCACTTGAATGCAGAAGGCAGAGGTTGCAGTGAGCCGAGACTGCGCCATTGTCCTCCAGCCTGGGCAACAAGAGCGAAACTCTGTCTAAAAACAAACAAACAAACTAAAAAACCAAAACAGTCTATCAAGGATAAATATTGGGACTTGATGAGGCAAAATCTACTTTCAAAGTTAAACCTAGAGACAGGGTGTGGTGGCTCATGCATGTAATCCCAGCACTTTGGGAGGCCGAGGTGGACAAATCGCTTCAGGCCAGAAGTTCAAGTTCAGCCTGGGCAACATGGCAAGACTCCATCTCTACTAAAAAAAAAAAAAGCTCTATCGCCAAATTAAACTTGGGTCACAGAATTCTATAATTTTATAGCTGGAAAGTATTAAGCCCAATCTTGTCACTCTGTTTGCCACGTTCAACCTAGGTACTGTCTTTATCCTGTGTCTGGCTTGTCCCACCACTAGAGGGTGCTGGCCCATAGGCTCTGAGTCAGAGGGACCAGGTGTCCAGGTTTGCTGGACACAGTCCTGATTCCACCTGTTGTCCTGGCATAATTATTATAAATATATATATACATATTTTAGACAGGGTCTGGCTCTGTCACCCGGGCTGGAGTACGGTGGTGCAATCTTGGCTCACTGCAACCTCCACCTCCCAGACTCAAGCAATCCTCCCACCTCAGCCTCCTGAGTATCTAGGACTACAGGCGTCCACCATCACGTCCAGCTAATTTTTAATTTTTTTTTTTTGTAGAGATGGGGTCTTGCTGCGTTGCCCAGGCTGGTCTTGAACTCCTGGGCTCAAGCAATCCTGCTTTGGTCTCCCAAAGTGCTGGGATTACAGGCATGAGCCACCGTGCTGGCATAATTATGAATGGCTTCCCCTTTCACTCTCAAAAGTGCCCCCATTTGGATGTCAAATTATTATTATTATTATTATTTTTGAGATGGAGTCTTGCTCTGTAGCCCGGGCTGGAGTGCAGTGGCCAGATCTCAGCTCACTGCAAGCTCCGCCTCCCGGGTTCACGCCATTCTCCTGCCTCAGCCTCCGGAGTAGCTGGGACTACAGGCGCCCGCCACCTTGCCCGGCTAGTTTTTTGTATTTTTAGTAGAGACGGGGTTTCACCGTGTTAGCCAGGATGGTCTCGATCTCCTGACCTTGTGATCCACCCGTCTCGGCCTCCCTAAGTGCTGGGATTACAGGCTTGAGCCACCGCGCCCGGCCTTGGATGTCAAATTATATATGTCCCCCCACACACACGCACTAAGCACAATTCCAGCATCAGGGGCCTATATTCCTAGATGAATTCAGAGAATCCTCCCCCAACCGCAACTACCTCACTGAAGAGATGATAGAAAAACTGCAGTTGGGATCTCCAGGCCTTTTCCAGGCCCCAAACCTCATTATGTGACTCTCCCTGGGTGCAAGCACCTCCAGCAGGGAGCAGATGTCAGCTCATCCACTACCAGGGAACCCGACTCTTCTGAAGGGCCCTCTAACGAGAGGGAGACCTCACAGGACACCAACATGGTGGTCCCGGACAGGCCTGGGGACAGTGCAAAGCCAACGCACCCAGACAGCGCCTGGCACTGGGAGTGCCAAGGGGAGTGCGCCTTCCACACAGGGCCCCGCCAGCCCCTTCCCTGAAGCTTCCCTCCGGGGCCAGAGGAAGGCAGTGGCCGTTCCAGGACCATGCTGTGGTTCAGGACCCTGACCGTTTTCTCTCTGCAGGTTTGTGTACAAACTCCAGCAGGCCCTATCAGCATCCCAGACTGGCTTTTATTACAGTGGAGGAAGGCGGAACTGCTGAGGACGAGGGGCACGGGTTTGAGGGGCTGCTTTTCTGGACCCTCCTAGGAAGTGGCGAATCCACAGGCATGGCTTACTGCGGGGAGCCCTCGGCAAATGCGGGTTCCTCTCCCGTGGTCCACTGGCCAGCTTGTCCCTGCTTACTCACTGGACAAGCACTCACAAAGCGCTGACTGGGCGCACAGCCCCAGCAATGGCTGCAGGCAGCCTGGGCCACTCGGGAGAGCAGCCAACAGTCCCCAGGGCCAGGCAGAGGGGCCAGCACCCCTCCTCTACAGCCCGCCAGCCTCCTACAGGGAGCCGACATCAGCCCGTCTGCAAACCTCTGCGAGGCTGCCAAGGGCTGAGGAGGCCGCAGATTTGAAGCCCCAGAGGCGCTGGACCCAGTCAGGGAGTGACATCAAGCGTCATAGAAGAAGGGTCTTCCTGTCCCATGGAGGGGTTGCGTGAGCTCCTCATCCCTGGAAGTGTGTATGTGAGGGATGCTGGCCCCAGGAAGGAAGCAAGGGCTGGGCCCAAAAGGTCCCTTCCAGCCGTGACTAACCTTGGGGACAGAGATGCAAACGGGGCCAACTCCAAGACCTGGCCAAGTCCCCAGGCTCTGGCCTTGGCCCAACGACAGTGAGAGTGGGAGGATGGGCCTCAGGCCTCCCCACCCGACTCCAGGGAGCACCTGGCAGGCCTCGGCCCACTAGTACTTACACCAGTAGGTTTCCTGGAGCAGACATGGATCGCTCTTCCCTCCGTGCTTGGGGCTCAAACGGGTTCCCAAAGGAGCGCTTCCTCAGCATGGACTTCACCAGGATCTGAGGAGGACATGGTGGTGTGAGGAGCACAGGCCCCAGGCTCCCAAACACGCCACTTCTACTCTGATTCCCAGAGAGCAGCTGCCAAGGGGGCCGCAGTGCGGGTCTCATTTCAATCAGCACAGCATGACATGGCGAGGACGAGAACACGGGGGCTGGTGGCAAAGTCCCAGAACGGTGAGGAGCTGGGTGCCGCTGGTGTGTGAGGAGGAGGCCGGGACCGGTCCATGAAGGGGCCACAAGGCCAGGCTGAGAGAGTGGGGAGGGCCAGGGCTGGAAGTAGGAGTCCATTAGAAAATACCTTCTCGGCCGGCCGGGCGCGGCGGCTCACGCCTGTAATCCCAGCACTTTGGGAAGCCGAGATGGGCGGATCACGAGGTCAGGAGATCGAGACCATCCTGACTAACCCGGCGAAACCCCGTCTCTACTAAAAATACAAAAAAACTAGCCGGGTGAGGTGGCGGCGCCTGTAGTCCCAGCTACTTGGGAGGCTGAGGCAGGAGAATGGCGTAAACCCAGGAGGCGGAGCTTGCAGTGAGCTGAGATCCGGCCACTGCACTCCAGCCTGGGCGACAGAGAGAGACTCCGTCTCAAAAAAAAAAAAAAAGAAAATACCTTCTCGCTACGGCAGCAACGCCATGGAGGATGCTGTGCCATCCTCCCACCTTCCGCCCATAGAGAGGATGCCAAGAAGATGCTACTGCACAGTGGCCCAGGAAGTGCTGAGCCGCAGCCGGTGGCTGAGCCAGGGGGGCTGCCAGGAGGGGGGCAGCTGCCACAGCCTGCCTCTCTGCTTTTGTCCCTCCTTCATGCCAAGGACGGTTCCATGCGCTGCCCACACACACGCTGACTCACACACATGCAGAGAGCCAGCAGCATGCTTGCCAGTCCCTTCACTCACTCGCCTGTCTCCATCCATCCTGTCAACACTGGTCACCACTGGCTGCCTACCGTGTGCTGGACACTGCTGTAGGCACTGGGGCCACACTGAGGCCAAAATTCTTGCCCTCATGTAGCCCTATAGCCTTTTTATTTTTTTCAGATGGAATTTTGCTCTTGTTGCCCAGGGCTGGAGTGCAGTGGCACGATCTCGGCTCACTGCAACCTCTGCCTCCCGGGTTCAAATGATCCTTCTGCCTCAGCCTCCTGAATAGCTGGGATTACAGGCATCCGCCACCACACCCGGCTAATTTTTTGTATTTTTAGAAGAGACGGGGCTTCACCATGTTGGCCAGGCTGTTCTCAAACTCCTGACCTCAAGTGATCCTCCCGCCTTGGCCTCCCAAAGTGCTGGGATTACAGGCGTGAACCACTGAGCCCGGCCATCATATAGCTTATATTCTAGTTTCAGGAGACAGGTGATAAGTAAAGAAGAAAAATCAGCAAAATATGTATGTCAGTAAGTGGAAAGGAAAAAATAAAACAAGGAATGGCGATGAGGTGCGACGCAGGGAAGGCTTGCTTCTCTCTTGGAGGGGACCCTGGCTTAAAAAGCCGTAGGAAGTGAGGGAGCAGGTCCTGTGGCAGTCGGGGGTGGGGCTCCCCAGGCAGAGGGAAGCAAAATCTGAAGGCTCTAGGGCAGCCTCTTCCATGGCACGTGGCCAGAGTCGAGTGCATGATGAGGGGACGGTGCAGGAGCCCCGCAGAAAAACAGGGCAGGGGGAGGGCAGGCTAGGGGCCCGACTCTGAGGGACACGGCAGCCCCGTGAGAAGCAGGCTCTGAGCTGGGAGGTGACACATTCATGCCACCAGGACCATGCTGGGTGCTGAGTTGAGCACTGACTGGGGGGACGGGGAGTGAGAGTAGAAGCAAAGGACAGCGTGGGAGGTTCTTCTGGTGGTCTGGGAGAGAGGAGATGGTGGCTAAGACCAGAGAAGTGGCCATGGGGACCCCCCGTAGGAGTTGCCTGGTTCCAAGGACCCCACAGAGCCAAGTAAGCATATGGGGCAGGGATTCAGCCAGCTGGTCCTAGCTGGGCCGGGACCCCGCAGCGGGGGATAAAGTGCAAGGCCAGGCCCTGCCAAGGGCAGTGGCCCCGGCTCTGGCTCCTGGCCTTGTGCTTGCCGACTCACTTGACTCTCAGGCAGGGGCAGGGCAGGGCTCTCACTGGCCCCAAGGGCCACCAGGTACTACGTGAGCCACTTCCAAGTGCCAACACAGAAGCTGAGCAGAGGAAGAGGAGCAAAACTGAAACGTGAGTGGGCTCTGGGGGAGACGCAGGCACCATCTAACTGATACGTGGGCTTTGGGGCCACTTCTCCAATCCAAAGGCTGCCCAGGCCATTCCCCTGCTGTGTCCTCGGCAGTGCCTGGAAAACGGAAGTTCAATAACTGTCTGGACGGAAGGAAATGCTTCTTCCAGTCCCAGTGACTGCTGCCGCTCAGCAAAGGCCGTCTATATCTTTCTTCCTTTTATTTATTTATTTATTTATTTATTTATTTATTTATTTATTTGGGACAGAGTCTCGCTCTGTCGCCCAGGTTGGAGTGCAGTGGCAGGATCTCAGCTCACTGCAAGCTCCGCCTCCCGGGTTTACGCCATTCTCCTGCCTCAGCCTCCCGAGTAGCTGGGACTACAGGCGTCCGCCAACTTGCCCGGCTAGTTTTTGTATTTTTAGTAGAGACGGGGTTTCACCGTGTTAGCCAGGATGGTCTTGATTTCCTGACCTCGTGATCCGCCCGTCTCAGCCTCCCAAAGTGCTGGGATTACAGGCTTGAGCCACCGCGCCCGGCCATTTTTTTTGTTTTTTTGAGACAGAGTCTCGCTCTGTCACCCAGGCTGGAGTGCAGTGGCACGATCTCAGCTCACTACAACCGCCTTCCAAGTTCAAGCAATTCTCCTGCCTCAGCCTCCTGAGTAGCTGGGACTACAGGCGCCCACCACCACGCCCGGCTAATTTTTTTTTTTGTATTTTTAGTAGAGATGGGGTTTCACCATGTTAGCCAGGATGGTCTGGAACTCCTGACCTCAGGCGATCCAAAGTGCTGGGATTATAGGTGTGAGCCACTGCACCTGGTATTTCTTTAAATCGGTTACTCTCCTCACTGAGCCTCCTGGTCTCCTGACCACAAGACCTCCTGATATGGGCTCTGGGGAAGACACGGGTGCCGTCCAACTGATACACGGGCTCACTCCATGGGCCTCCAGCAGAATGGCGGCTCCAGTGGCCCAGGATCACAGCTGGCTGGCCAGGCAGGCCTCTGTCCCCCAACGGAGGCGGGCACAGAGCAAGGCTCAGGCCCCCCAGGCCCCCCAGGCCCTCCAGGACAAGGGAGCGTCTGCTCCGGCCCTCTTACCACTGTGGTCCAGCTGGGGATGAGCCTGACCGAGTTCTTCACCTCCTCCTCTGTCACCTCCACCACACTGCAGTGCTCCTCCTCCGAGGGAAGGGGCTCCTCCCCATTCTTGGTCACCCAAGGGTGCAACTGTCGGGACCGAGAGGGCAGGGAGAGGAGGAGAGGTCAGGCCATAGGCAGACACTCAGTCAGCAAAGGACTCCAAGCCTTTACCAGCATCACCAGGAGGGGTCCAAAGTCCACAGACCCAAACCCAGCACACATGCAGCCTGGTGTCGGTCTCTCCAGAAAGGGAAACTGACGCCTGTTTTCTGTGTCCCAGCCCAGCCCAAAACCTCCAGTTCCCCGACCTTGATGTCTGGCACCCCAATTCTCGTCTCGGGATTCTTGTCTAGCATCTTCAGGATTAGGTCCTTGAGCTCCTCGCTGATCTCTGGCCTGGAGAGGGCGAAGGAAGGAGAGGAGGGTGGGATCGCTGATGAGGACCCCTTCCTGTCCACCTCTCCTCCCCACACCCTCGTCCCTCGGATGGGAAGACTGAGTTCCGGACAGCAGGAGGGAGCTTCCCAAGTGCTTGGAGAGCCTTTCCCGAGCAGGAGGTAAAGTCTCCCTCCGGGACAGAGGCACACACAGAGTTCCATGGGTGCTGGACACCCCACTGGGTGGCAAAGATGGTGAGGAGAGTCGTTTTATGGGACACCAGGGGCTTCGGTCCCACTCACCACTTCATCCTCTTCTACACCCAGAGAAGATCCTCTCTGACAGAGGAGGAAACTGAGGCCCAGGGAGGTTAGCAGGCTGGCACAGTGCCAGTCAGAAAAGTGCAGGCAGAGATGGGAGACTCAGATGGGAGGGAGCGGCCGCCCAGCACCACATCAGCCTCAACTCTCTCTGCTCAAACCCCAAGTTTCTTTGCCACCAGTGGTCTTGGGGAGCCCATCCTTCCAAGACTGAGGACCAGAAAGCCACTCTCCGGACTGTTGACTTTGGTTCCCCCTGTTGTCTTAGATGCGTCATCCCTTTTAAAATCCCTGGGTTGGGGAGAAAGACATCGCTGGCAGGGGGTACAGCAGGATGAGAGGCACCAGGGGTACAACTGCGGAGGCCGCGAGGGAAGGCAATCACAGGACGCGGAGGAAATGGACAGAGGCCTGCTGGCTGGTGCTCGGGAAAGGGAGTGAGGCGGCCCCAGACGAGCGGGTGGCAGAACGCGGAGATGCGTGAATGCCAGGGCCAGGGCGCGGCGTTGAGAAGCGTCAGACAAACTTCAGGCCGGAGATGTGGGCAGATTTGTTGAGCTCCGTGTGTCAGGGCTGCCTCCACCCGACTGTGCTGGCTGGACTGGAGGGAGGCCAGCAGCAGTGAGACCGGGGGAAGGTGGCCACACAAGTCTGGGGAGGGGCCTGAGGCCTGAATGAGGCAAGGAGTGCAGGTAGCAACAAGGCCCAGAGACAGGGAAGAAGAGGGCTCAACGGGGCTTGGGGACCACATAGGAAATAAGCAGGAGAGAGCAGGAGTCGCTAAGGACAAGCCCTATTTCAGTTTCTTCTTTTTTTTTTTTTTTTTTTTTGAGACAGAGTCTTGCTCTGTCGCCCAGGCTCACTGCAACCTCCGCCTCCTGGGTTCAAGCAATTCTTATGCTTCAGCCTCCCAAGTAGCTGGGACTACAGACACGCCCTACCACGCCTGGCTAATTTTTTGTATTTTCAGTAGAGACGGGGTTTCACCATGTTGGCCAGGCTGGTCTCGAACTCCTAACCTCAGGTGATCTGCCCACCTCAGCCTCCCAAAGTGCTGGGAGTACAGGTGTGAGCCACCGTGCCCGGCCTCCATTTCACTCCCGAAAAGAGGAGCCAGGCAGCTCAGGCCAGCTGCCACGGTGGCCAAACCATCACGAGGCGAACCATGCATGAGCAAGGTCTCCCCCACATCCCTGCTACGCTCAGAGACCTCAGTCACAACGGGAGGAGAGGGGAGGAAGAGTGGCTCATTGAGTCCCAGCCCCCTGACAGCTCTCCTCCAGAGCGTCCTCTTTCCATCTGTGAAACGGGAGCACGCACTGGCATCTTGAAGCTCCCCGACCCTGAGTGGGGGAAGAAGTCCCCCTTGAGTTCAGGGGCCGGGCGGGGCTGGCACCACCGACCCCAGGCAGGCCTGCGGTGAAGGAGTCGTGTGAATGATGCCTGTGGTCATCCCCGGCCAACCCTGGATCTCAGGGCTCCCATCCGTACAGTGACGTCACGGAGACCCTCGGCTCCAGAGTCCCACCCGTCCTTCTACTCAGGGGTCCCTCCCGGGGAACAGCACCACCACCTTCCTATCTGCAGGCTGGGGTGGGGTCCTTAAAGGGCAAAAGCTCTGCTAAAACTCAGACACCAGGAGTGGGTGGTAGCCCCCTTGGTCCCCTGGGTGGACAACTCACTCCTCAGGAAACACCACGGGCTCATTCTTGATCTTCCTGTGGAGGGCCAGGATGAAGTCGTCGATGAATGGGCACTGCGGGGTGGAGAGGCAGACAGAGGATGTGGGCCCAGGGCCTTGACCCGTGCCAGGGGACCAGCCCCCCTCCCTTGATGGGGCCAGGGGTAGGGGGCAGCTCTGGGCTCCCATTAAATGAGAAGGACCTCAACTCATTTGTTCAGGGCCTGGCACACTGCAAATGTTCAACAAATGTTGACTGAATGAATGAGTTGCTGAGGGAACGGTGAGGCTGGGTGCACCCACCGCCATTCCTGCCATCTGCGGCCAGGCCAGGCCAGGCCAGGTGCACCCACTGCCATAACCACCACCTGCGGCCAGGCCAGGCCGGGTGCACCCACTGCCATTACCACCACCTGCGGCCAGGCCAGGCTGGGTGCACCCACCACCATTACCACCACCGTGGTCAGGCCAGGCCAGGCCAGGCTGGGTGCACCCACTGCCATTACTGCCACCTGTAGCCAGGCCTCCACTCCCAGGGCCTAGAGCTTGGGAACACGTTCACTGAAATTCCCTCCTGCACCTTAGTGCGGTCACTAGACCAGGAGCACCTGCAGGCAGGGATCTCGGTCACGTCAGCGTCGGGTGTCCCCAGGGTCCGGCCTCAGCCAGGGTAGGGGTGAAGGACAATTTGTCGAATGAATGAGCAATGGAGTGAACGTGTGGCTCGATAAGTGAATGGCATCAAGGGACAGAGGGACGGGGAGCACTCTGGCTGGGGCAGTGGCGACACCACCACCGGCACCTCCCCTTGGTGTCTGCTGTCCTGCGACTCCTTCGCGAGAAGCGCTCCGCAGGAGACCAGAGGAAGACAGAAAAAGCCCCTTCTCTCTCAGCCTTCTCTGAGCCAGGTGGCTCTTTCAAAAGCCACTGTACTTAAGGACAGAAAGGAAGAGCCTGCATCCGTTGCCCGTGCCCGCCTCACTGGACCTGCCCCAGCTCTGCTGGCATCCCTGGCACTCACCTTCCCATAGACAAAGCAGTACAACGTGACGCCGGTGGCCCACACATCCAAGGCCTGGAAGGAAACATGCTCACATCAGTCCCCCAACAGGCACAGCCACCTCTGCCCACCCAGCTCCAGTGGGCTGCAGGAGAGGCCTGCAGGGAACCTCTTCCCTCTGTCATGTACTCACTCGACAAACACTCCCCAGTGCTTGCTCAATGCTGGGCCCCAGGCTGAGTGCTGAGGACGCAGGGGCGGCCAGAACAAGGTCTCCACCCTCCAGGGGTTCTGAGTCTCCTTGGGACAGGCTCTAACCAGGAATGTTTCCAACTCAACGGGTACAAAACCACCTTCATCCACAGGGTCACACGGGCCACTCGCATGTCACAGACGCACCCCAGGAATGATAGTATATATGGAACTTCTGCTCACTAAACCAGCTCGGGGTTCAAGGAGTCATCTCTTCTCCTCACAATCCACCTTCTTCCTGATACTGCAAGCAGCTCCTGCCCACACAGAGGCCCTGTCCACTCACGCCCTCGTCCACTGCCACGGCAACAACTCCTCCGGGCTCCGAAGCACCCCTGGGCCTCCCCACGCCCTGGATGTGTGCTCTCTCTACCTTCGCCTGCTCCGGAACGCCACCACTTCTGGTATCCACTTTCTCGCTTACGTGAATGATTCTCAGTCTCTACCTACATATTCCTGCCCCAGATGCATCATCTGAATCCAATCAGGGAACACCAGACAAATGCAAACTGACAACATCCTACAAAATAACAGGCTTGTTCTCTTCAAAAATGTCAAGATCGGCCAGGTGCAGTGGCTCGCGTCTGTAATCCCAGCACTTTGGGAGGCCGAGGCGGGTGGATCATGAAGTCAGGAGATCGAGACCATCCTGGCCAACACGGTGAAACCCTGTCTCTACTAAAAATACAAAACATTAGCTGGGTGTGGTGGTGGGCACCTGTAGTCCCAGCTACTCGGGAGGCTGAGGCAGGAGAACGGAATGAACCCGGGAGACAGAGCTTGCAGTGAGCCAAGATCGCACCACTGCACTCCAGCCTGGGCGACAGAGCAAGACTGTGTCTCAAAAAACAAGTCAAGATCAGGACAGACAAAGGAAGGCCAACACCCTCTTCCAGATGAAAGGACACCACAGACAAGAAGGCGAACGCAGCAAGTGGCCCTGGATTGGATCCTGGGACCAGAAAAAGAACAGGTTGTGAAGGACAGTATCAGGACAACTGATAACATTTAAATAAGGTCTGTGGATTATATATAATTTTTTTTTTTTTTTGAACCAGAGTCTCACTCTGTTGCCCAGGCTGGAGTGCAATGGCACGATCTCAGCTCACTGCAACCTCTACCTCCTGGGTTCAAATGATTCTCCTGCCTCAGCCTCCCAAGTAGCTGGAATTACAGGTGCCTGCCACCATGCCCAGCTAATTTTTGTATTTTTTAGTAGAGACGGGGTTTCACCACGTTGGCCAGGGTGGTCTCAAACTCCTGACCTCAGGTGATCCACCCGCCTTGGCCTCCCAAAGGGCTGGGATTACAGGCATGAGCCACTGTGCCCGGCCTATACATAAGTCTTATCAATGATGAATTTCGTAATTTTAATCATTGTACTAAGGTTATATAAGAGAATGTCCCTGTTCTTAGGAAATATCCACTAATGTATTTAGTGATAAAGAGGTATAATACCTTCAATGTAACTTTCAAATGGCTCAGAAAAATGTAGTATGAATACAGATAAATAGAAAAAGATGATGAAAAAGCCAGTGGGACAAAATGTCAACAATTGGTGAATCTGGGTAAAAAGACATATGGGATTTATTTGTACTATTCTTCCAACTTTTCTGTAAATTTAGAATTATATCAAAATAAAACATTAAAAAAAATCTTTATCAACATTGCTAACCTCTTTCTTTCTTCCTTTTTTAGAGATAAGGTCTCACTCAGTTGCTCAGGCTAGAGTGCAGTGGTGCGATCACAGCTCCCTACAGCCCTCAACTGCTGGGCTCAAGCGATCCACGCCAGCCTCCCGAGTAACCAGGACTACAGGTGCGCACCATCACACCTGGCTAATGTTTTTATTTTTTTGTAGAAATGGGGTCTTGCTATGTTGCCCAGTCTTGTCTCAAATTCCTAGCCTTAAGAGACCTGCCTTGGCCTCCCAAAGCACTTGGATTACAGGCATGAGCCACTGTGCCCGGCCTCCTGACCTCTTTCCTGGATACTCACATGTGTCCAAATGCCACTCACCCACAGCCTCCCTGGCAGTGGGGCGGCTGGCACTCCACAGGTGAAACAGCCAAGCACCTAGGGAACTGCGCCGGACTGTGTAACCTCTTGTTCAGGTAACTTTGCCAACTTCTGTTGCTTAGGAGAAAGCCCAAACTTCCAGGCCCTTTACCCTCTGCCCCCCATCCTGTGCCCCTCTGTTCTCTGGTTTATTCTCTGGGCTCCAGGTCCTGCTCAGATCCTCCCCATTCTTCAAGGAACAGTTCAAATCCTGCCATGTCCCAAGATCTGCAAGGACCCCCAACTTCCCCTGAAACCATCCAGAGGGCAGGAAACAGGGTTCTCTTTGGCTCTGCCTCTTCCACAGCCCGGTCCAGAACCCAGCACAGAGCTACCAACAGTAAATATCTGCAAGGGAGATTTGGGGCCACTTTGCTGGAAAACAGGAGAAAGCCAAAGTTGTGGAGTTCATCAGGCTCCAAGGGAGAAGCAAATATGTCGCTCCCTAGACACAAGGACCCTGGCACCCTCAGGTTAGAAACTGGGCCCCTGCAGCAAGCTATTACGCCCCCCACAGGAACCCCAGCCTGGCCCAGGGCCTGTGAGTCACCTTCCCACTGAAGCTCTGGCCAGAATCAGAAATGGCCTCGGGGGCCATGAATGCCGGGGTCCCGGCCGTGCTGGACAGTTGCGCATCGTTCCCCTCAAACTGGTTGCTGACACCAAAGTCGGCGATTTTCACGTGCCCATCATCCCCCAGGAGCAGGTTGGATGGCTTGATGTCCCTGTGGACGATCTTCTGGAAGTGCACTGCAGAGAAAGAAGGTTTGAGCTGAGCGCTGGCCTGGGCACCGCTGTCCAGGACCCCACGTCTGTCCTCGCCCAGCCAGGGATGCCGGCTGGGACATCCCAGCCCATGCACACTTTCGTCTGGTGACGACCTGGGAGGAGGACGTCAGGGCCATCGGCTCCATGTAGGTGCAGACAGGTGTGAGCAGCAGAGCCAGGACTGGAATCTTAGGAGCTTTGGACTCCAAGTCCAGTGCCCTCTCCATGACAAACAAGGGACCTGCAGCTGAGTGGGGAGGTCAGAGGAAACTAGGGCAGGAGAGTTGGTTTTTGTTGTTGTTGTTTTTTTTGTTTTGTTTTGATACAGAGTCTCGCTCTGTCGCCCAGCTTGGAGGGCAATGGTGCAATCTCGGCTCACTGCAACCTCCACCTCCCAGGTTCAAGCGATTCTCCTGCCTCAGCCTCCCAAGTAGTTGAGATTACAGATGTGAGCCACCACGTCTGGCTACTTTTTGTATTTTTAGTAGAGATGGGGTTTTGCCATGTTGGTCAGGCTGGTCTGGAACTCCTGACCTCAGGTGATCCGCCCACCTTGGCCTCCCAAAGTGCTGGGATTACAGGCGTGAGCCACTGCGCCCGGCTGGGAGGAGAGGTCTTCCTAGGCCAGCTCTGCCCCTTCCCTGTGAGTGCCGTCTGCAGGCCCAAAGCCCATCAAAACCTTTCTCCAGTTCCATCCCTCACCCAGGCTAGGCAGATGTCCGTGCTGCTGGGACTGACAGTAAGACTGTCGTGACTCTGCTATCCTACAGAGGTACCATCTCAGCCCTAGGGATCTGGGCTGATGGGGTTTCAGAGATGGATGGCACCCCAGGCCTTGGGACGAGCAGGATGACACAGCTGGGGTGTAAGGTCAGCCACATACAATAGGACAAATCCCAAATCAGAAATGGCCTAATAGGCTGGAAACCTGCCCTGCTTCCTGGGCCCAGGACCACCACAAAGTGATGGGTGGCTCAGGCTGAAATGGCCAGAAAGGTCCCAGCCAAGAGAGACACTGACCCCGTTCCACAACCACCGACCTGTGGGCTCCCTCCTTGGCAAATACCTCCCCCTGGACCAACAGACCCCAGGATGTTGGAGAGGTGGGAATAGAGAAGGCGAGAGAAGAGAGGGGAAGGGAGAGGAGGAGAGGGAGGCTGGGGGCGGAGAGGACGGGTGCCATGTAACAATAACCAGAAAACCAGTGGCACTTTCTTGATTGCCTACGATGTGCCAGGCGTACATCACACGAGGAATCTGACACACAGCCATGAGGGCACAGAAGCTCGGGGGTGGATATTTGACCATGGAAAGCAGTCTCACGTTCTTATCTCAAACCCTAGCCTCTCCCTTGGACTCCAGCCCTTTACCCACATGGATTTCCAGTAGACATCTTGATAGGTAACTAGGCAGCTAGGCGTCGATATATGTCTCTGTGTATCTCAACATAATGTAATAACATGTCTAATTCAGAACTCGATTTCTCTGCCTGCAACGCCCACCACCAACAAAACCAAAACAAAACAAAATAAAACAAAAAGCCCCTGCCGCTCCCCATTCTTTCCCATTCTGTGAAAGGCCAAAAACCTCAGGATCATCCTCAACTCCTCCTCTGAGACCCCACACCCTTCCCATCAGCCAGGTCTGCGAGCTCAGCTGCTCACATCTATTCGAGATCCAACTGCTTCTCATCACCTGCATCGCCGCACCTGCCCCCATCGACTGACGACCAGGCCTGGGCTGCCCTGACCACTGAGCCCTCTCAGGGCAGCCTCAACTATCCCTTCTTCAGGCCAGAATCACAAGGCAGGTCTTCGGCGCCCTGGTGCCTCTGTTCATCCACCTGCCCAGCCCCTGGTGCTAACCACTCTGCCCCAGAGAAGGCCCTTCACTGTGATTAGCTGGGTCCTGATGAGACTTTACCCAAGAACCAGGTAAGATAAACTGGTTTCTTTGTGGAGACTAGGGGATAGCAGACAACAGGACTTCACGGGAAAGAAGGGACCACAATGGGAAGGAAGTGGAGTCACGCTGGTACAGGATTGTGCCTGCCACTGACCGTACCAGGGGTAAAAAGTCCCCTTCCCATCCCATGCCTCTAGACCATTGGTAGGGAGTTTCTGCAAAGCCCTTGCCTCTGTGTGCCTCAGTTTCCCCATATGTGCAAAGAGAGTATTAATCTGAAGGCAAAGGAGAAGCTCAAGCAGGATAAAGACAGTACTGTTTTTGGCCGGACGCGGTGGCTCAAGCCTGTAATCCCAGCACTTGGGAGGCTGAGACGGGCGGATCACGAGGTCAGGAGATAGAGACCATCCTGGCTAACGCGGTGAAACCCGTCTCTACTAAAAAATACAAAAAAAAAACTAGCTGGGCGCAGTGGCGGGCGCCTGTAGTCCCAGCTACTCGGGAGGCTGAGGCAGGAGAATGGCGTGAACCCGGAAGGCGGAGCTTGCAGTGAGCTGAGATCCGGCCACTGCACTGCAGCCTGGGCGACAGAGCGAGACTCCATCTCAAAAAAAAAAAAAAAAAAAAGACAGTCCTGTTTCTGTCACTGCAGGTCAAACCTCAGCCAGATCCTCACCCTGTTCCCCCAGGGAAAGAATATGCTCCGAAGAAACCAAGCTAAGATTTTATTTTTTATTTTTATGTACGTATGTATGTATTTTGAGATGGAGTTTCGCTCTGTCACCCAGGCTGGAGTGCAATGGCGTGATCTCGGCTCACTGCAACCTCCGCCTCCCAGGTTCAAGCGATTCTCCTGCCTCAGCCTCCCAAGTAGCTGGGATTACAGGCATGCGTCACCACACCCAGCTAATTTTATATTTGTAGTAGAGACAGGGTTTCTCCATGTTAGTCAGGCTGGTCTCGAATTCCTGATCTCAGGTGATCTGCCCGCCTTGGCCTCCCAAAATGCTGGGATTACAGGCATGAGCCATTGCACCTGGCCCAAGCTAAGATTTTAGAGATAGGCATCTCCCCTGGTCCCCAATCCAAGCCAGGATCCTAGGTGTCTAGGGGCTTTCCTCTCCCCAGACCAGCAAGTCACCCCATGCTGACCACACCACCTCCTTCCTATCCCCACCCCGCTGCCACTGCCTTAATCCAGGCCTCACCATCTGTCACTTGGGCTGCAGAAACAGCCTCCTCCCTGGCCAGCTGGCTGCCTCTCACCCTCTGATGACACTCCAATCCAGCCACCACACAGCTGCCAGACAGCTTTCTCCGGCACAAATCCCATCATACCCCTCCCCACGCTTAAAGCTCTCAGGGCCTCACAGAGCTGGCAGGATGAAGTCAGCAAAGACCTCACGGGAGGCATTCCCAGCCCTCATGCTGGGGCCTGGACAGTGTTTCCAGCATCATCTTTCACTAACCACTGCCCTCCTCGGCCCACTGGAGGCTTCAGCCAGACTCCACTTCTCCCCAGACTCAAAGAGTACATGCCTATGCTGGGCACACTGTCTCCTACCCCCGTCCCTCAAAACCTGAGCAGGGAACTCGACTCATCCCTCAGGACCGGAATCCTAAGTAGCCTCTTCAGGGAGACTTCCCCAGCCCCCCCGGCACTCCCACAGCCTCTGGGCTCCCCAGCCTTGGCAGGCACCACACTGTATTATCTGCCTGCCTAGATTCCTGTCCCTCCCACTAGGCCGTGAACTCAGCTCTGGGTCTTTCACCCCTATGCGCCCAGGCAAGTGAAAGCAGCTAATGACTGAAATGAGACAGAAGCCAAGCTCACATCACCCTCTTGAGCTCTCATCAGGCTAGGGCCCCTCACAGTTAAACCCACCCTGCCACCATGCCCTGGCCCCATGCCAGGACAGACTCTTCCCCCAGCAGTTGGACATACATCCCTGCCTTCCCACATCTCTTGAGGCCCCGTGGCAACGCTAAGTTAGGCTAAGAACTCAGCAGAAGAAACATTCAGAACAGCCAGGGCTCAGACCCACAGGAGCAGATACACTGAAAGATCTGGCGCATGCCCAGTGAGGTCCACCGCCCGTCCCCACCCCCCAGAGGCCTTGGCCCCGCCCACTCGTGCATGCCCCACTCCCACTGAAGCTGATTGGCAGGCCAGCTCTGACTGACAGGAGCTGCCCAGAGCCTGCTCAGCCTGGGCTCTGCTGCCTGCCAGACCCCCTAGCCTCGGCCCCAGTGGGCAGGCTGCCCCGCACTCACAGTACTCGAGGCCCAGGATGACGTCCCGCAGGTAGAGGCGAGCTTGCTCCTCCGAGAAGGGCTTGTCACAGGGCACTTCCATGACGGGCCTATGGAGAAGGATGCGGGAGGGGCATTCAGCCGAAATCAGGGCACCCGGCCATTCAGGCGGTCGGGACGTCCCGGGAAACCTGTGCCCACATGGGTCCCTAGAACCCAAGATATTAGCTTTTTCTGCTATATAATAAAAAATGTAAAGCACACATACTCAGACATATCCCGTTTCAATCATAATTTCAAATCAGCTTTCTCTTAATTTCTGATTGCCTTGATATTCCTTCTTCTAAGTACCTAATAGTCTATAATCAAACAATTGCAAAGATGCCATTTAGAGCACTGTGTTCCAAACCGTGGATCCAGACCCAAGAGAGGATCACGAAATCAATTTAGTGGGAGGCAACTGCTTTTTTTTTTTTCCGAAATAAATAGAATATATCAGAATATATTGCATGTAGTAAAGATATATGCTGTTTTGTAAAACTTTGGTTTCAGTTACAGATATGGATAGCAATAGAAATATATATTTCTTGTTTTGGATAGAGGTCAACACATGTGAAAGCCTCCAAGTCTTAAAGGGACACCCCTCCCTGCCCCTCTCCCCAAAATGGTCTGTAGGAAGCTGCCCAGGCAGAGAGACAAGCTGCAGCCTGCATTCAAGCCTTGGCAGTGAGGGTCCCGGAACACCCAGCCCCGTGCTCGTTACTCCATGTCATCTGCTCTGTAAATACCCTGAAAAGCTGCAGAAGGCAGACATGTGGAACCTGGCCTCCATCAGTGACTCGCTGTGAGACCCTGAGCAAGCCACATTCCATCTCTGGTCCTCGGCTTTCCCTCTCACAAATAGGATCAAATGGAATCCTACCCACTGCGTTCACAGACTTGTTGGAAAGCTGAAAAACCCTCTGTGATTTGAATACCGCTAAGAGTTGAGTCCCACCTCTATACTTTGACCTAAAAAACACTCCTTTCTCCTTTCCTCCCCCTCTCCTCCATCCATATCTTCCCAGTTCTTCAAGGCCTGGGTCAAAACCCATCCCCTTTTCCAGAGGTCTCCCTGCTGACTATTGCAGTCTCACTGACCCCCATCAGCCTTCAAAGAATGGTCCTCTTGGTCTCTTATTTACCCCTAAGGGCAGGGCCTCCGTGTCTGACTTCTCCTACAGTAGCTGACCCTTGGGCTGGGGACACAGGGAGGGAAAGGAAGGAAGGCCTGGATGAGACTTGACCTGCCTGATCAGGACGGGGAACTCACCCCTTTCTCAGGAGGTCAAACACTGAAAGAAAAGACAAGAAGGTAAGGTGTAGCTAGCTGGCAAAGCAGCCGATGCCAAGGTCCCTCCCTGGTCTGGAGGGTAGGAGAGGGGACAGGCATGCAGGCATACTTGAGGCAGGGACAGGACAGGGGTTCCTGGGATATCAGAGCAAATAAATGCATGAGAGTGGGGTCTGCTATGGACCTGCCTCATCTGATCCTTAGGCACCAGGTGAGAACCATCGGCATCAGCAAGGGGCCCTTTGACAGAGGGGGAAACTGAGGCACGGAGCAGGGGCAGAAATTTTCCTAAAGGTCATAGCAGACAGGCAGGTAGGGTAGGGAGTGGAGACTAAAGCCTCAGCCTCTAATTCCTAAGCCAGTTCTTCTTCTGTCCCATTTTCTGAGGCCTCCTCTAAGCCCAGCCCTGAACCAGACACAAGGAACTAAAACAATAACATTACTATTAACAAGGATCATAACGAATGTGCTTGACATATAATTACTCAGTTACTCCTTACATCGACCCTATGAGGTAGACACCACTAGTATCCCTGTTTTATAGGTGAGAACACTGAGGCACAGAGCTACAGTGTCTGGGAACCTGCATCTACCTGAGTGCACGGCCCAAATGGATCCACTGTCTTGCTGCTTGGAGTGGGGCTTGGGAATATTTGCTGAATCTAACTGGATATTCTGGGCCTGGTTCTGCAGGGCTGGGCAAGGGAATCCAGGGCTTCAGAACGTGCGTTTTTCTTGTGTCCCCAGGCAGTCAGTGTATTTACACTACCCACCTGAAGGTCATACGTGTCCCAAGGGAGCCCTTGGGCCCGCCCTGGCTGAGCTGCTGTGGGAATGAGCCAGGTCACTCACCCAAATAGAGATTGTCCTCAGCTGGGTCATCCAGGACCTGGTCAGAGGGAGCAGACATGGGGTTGGGGGTCCCAGGCCTCCTGGTCCTTGCCAGCCCCAGAACCCTTAGCACGAACTGCAACCACCCCAGACAATGGAGCAGGAAGTGCACAGGTGCCAGACTGATGGGGCCTCAGAAGTCACTGACCCCCAGCCTGGCCTGCCACATGACATCCAGCCTTCCTCCCCTCCTGCTGCAATGAGGGGCTCACTTCTTGCCTCTGGGGCAGCCCTCACCCTCCGTGGGAACTTGGGAACATCCCTGACCAGGCTGGGCTCCCAAAGCCTCCCTGTAGCCCCACCCCAAGTCTGGCCCTGTCATCAGAGACCTCAGCCACATCTGCTCCCTTGGCAAGATCCCCGGGTCTGTGCTAGGGGCTCCCCAGCACCAGAGAAGCGGCTCCCGTGAGACTCAGGTGCAGGTTCCCACCTGCTCACCACCACCTCCCCCTACCTCGATCAGTTTGACCACATTCACATGGTCCAGCTTCTTCAGGATGGCAATCTCCTGGTACACCCGCTCCAGGGGCAGCAGCTGCTTGGCTGGTCCTCCCTGGGCAGCCTGGGACCCTCTTGGGGGAGGGCGACCTGTAACCAGGAAGAGAATTCAAGCACCTGTTCCAGGGGGCTGGGCCTCACCGTGGCCCCCAAACCAGTCTCAAGCAAGAGTCTTGCACGCCCATGGTCTTGCCCCAACCCACCAGGCACATTCCATCCCCAGGCCTCTGCTCACGCCGTCTCCCTCTCTACCCCATTCCTAGCCAAAACCAGCTCGGGACCGAGGTCTCCTCCACCTCCCAGGCTAGGGGCTCCCAGGGACAGGACCAGAAGATACATACGTGGAAAGCCATACTGCTTCAGTAACTTCTTTTTGGAAAGCACTTTCATTGCCTAAGGAAGGAGGGAGAGAAATGTCACTAGCGTGAAGCCACCGGGAGCTAGAACAGGCTGGTACGTGTGGACTGAGGTCCGGAGAGGCACACTGGACATCTGCTACTGGCCCTGAGGGTGTGGCCCAGGTACGTGTTAAGCGGGGTTAGGGGGTGGCCACATCTGAGCCTCGCCCTTCCCCTTATTCCCCCAGCAAGTCTTTCTGGAGCTCTCCCCACAGACGAATCCAGCCTCTGCTTGCATATCCCCAGGGTTAGGAAGCTCATTTCTTTGCATACCCCCAGGGACAGGGAGCTCACTCTCAGACAGCCCTGTCCTCTATCTCCTGAGCACAACTCCTGCCCCACCCCCCAGGCTTCCAGGGCCCGGCGTGGGCAACCCCTCCCTCCTATCCCCAGACTCACATAGTGTCTGTCTTCACTCTCGTTGTAGGCCAGCCTCACCACACCGTAGGCACCCTGCAGACAGGCATCGGTCAGCCCCACCTGGACAGGGCAACCCCTCCCAGGAGCAGCTCAGGAGGTGGGGAGCCTGAGCAGCTCTGGTCTCTCCTGCACCCCATCTGCACCTCCCACCACCAGCTGGCTCATGGGCGAATATTGTAGCAGACAGGGAGGGGACTCCTGTGCCCTGGTAACTGCCCCTGCTTGGCTCAACACGGCTCCATGCCTCCCTCAGTCCCTCCTTGTCAACTGTCAAGAACTCTGGGAGTCAGGAGTCAAGAGTCACCTTCCACCCCCCCTCCCCCCGCCCCAGTACCTGGGAACTTCCCCCAGGGCACGAAACTGTCCTCACCTCTAGGCTAGGACTTGCCTGGCTCTGCCTCCCATTCCCTCCCACACAGGAGAAGGAACAGCGCCAAGCAGAGGATCCCGAAGCCCCCGGTGCTCTCAGCCTGCCCACTCCTACCTTGCCAATCTCACTCTGCAGCTTGTACTGGTTGAGCTGCACGCAGTCCTGTGGGGGAAGAGTGAGCACCAGGTTGAGCTGGCTCCAGAGGCAGCACTGCTCCTACCTCAGAGCCCGTTCAGGGTCCAATTCTGGCCACAGGCCCCTCATCCCGGACCCCCCGGTCTCACCAAGCATTTGAGTTTGGATGGGGAAGCTGGTGGTGCCATCGCCCCCGTATGTGATGAGAAGATGTGGTTCATGTTTGAAAACATGGATGGTGACGCCACGGCTGTGCCGTGTTCCCCAGATGCAGTGGTGAAGGGAAAATGCTAATTCCTGTCTGGATTCTGGAGTCTGGGAGATCCCAATCCACGAGAAACCCATAAGCAACTATTTCCAGAAGCAGTTGAATGAGAAGGTCTAGACTCCAAGGACAAGATGAGGAGCCCTGGGCACAAAGGCTGAGAGCCTGGGTTCAGGCACAGAAAGCTCAGCTCCTGACATCCGTAGACTGCTCAGAACCTGAGTGCACTTTCAGAACTAACTGGCAGGAACTCCAGCTGAAGCCCAGAGGCTGGAGCCAGGCTGGCCGTTTCTGAGGCAGAGCAGACTCTAGGAGGCAGAATTAGAGGCGAGGGATGCAAGCTGGGGAAGAGTTGGGGGGGTAGGGGGAACATAGCCTCTATCTTCACATCTCTAAGAAGACTACACAGGGGACCAGGGCGAGACCTATTTCCCAGGCCTAGGCTGGGAGTGGGAACAGCGGGACTTAGAGAACGCAGCCTTTGGCTCAGCTGCAGCTCCCCTGGTTGGGAAGAGCCTATACTGTTAGGTAGTGATCTCCCCAGCTCTGAGGGTATGCAAACCAAAGCTAGATAGCTGTGTGGCACAGACAAGGGCAGGAAAGAGCCTCACTTGCGGTCCATGAAGGGGCTCTGAACAACCCCTCGTGCTGCCCCACCAACCTCTGCATCTGAGATGGCCACGTGGTGGGACTCGATGGTGGGCCTCCGCCAGGCCCGGGGGGAGATGTGGCTGGCAGGCCCCGTGGCATAAGGCCCAGCCTGCGCCTCCAGATAACTTCCTGCCGGCCGCTCCTGTAGGGACAGCTTCCTGGCTGAGAGGCTAGGCCGGGCTGGGAGCAGTCTCGAAGTACTGCCAGGGATCACAGAGGCAGCTCTGGCCCGTGGCGGAGGGTCCACACCGTTTCTAGTAGGCTCTGGGCCACCATCTGCCTCTTCCAAGTGGGTCACGTCGATGGCTGCCACCCGTTCCACCAGCTCTGCCCGAGGATCCTGGCAGCAGACAGCTGGACCCCCCTCCATTGCTTCAGTCAAGGGGGGTCTTCTGCGTAGCCTTGTTGGGAAGCTGAGAAAGGAGGGCAGAGAAGGCTTCACTCCTGTGTGTCAGGCTGGCTACCAGGTAAGGTAGCCGCAGCCCTGTGGGTCCCACCTCCATGCCTTTGCCCTGGCTGTTCCCTCTACCGGCATTGCCAACACCCAGCCTCAAGTCTGTCCCTATGAACTGAATGAATTCACATTGCTTCTGCCGAATGCCAGCCCTCTAGGCCTCAGTATCCCCGCCGGTCACTTCTGCCTGCCGGCTTCACAGGGAAGCAGAGAGAATCTGATATTCTGGAGTCAGGACAGACAGGGGCAGAAGCCTGGAGGCCCAGCAGCACTGGAAGGGGCAGAACCCACGGTCAGCTCAGCCCCAGAACAGCATGCAGCCCTGTGAGTCATGAGTCCCAACCCTTGATAGCAGAGCACTCCAACACTGCCTCCTGGAAGCTGAGCTAGACACTAGTAACTCAGAAGCCTTGTTGATGCTTCAGACCCACCCGCCTCCTCCAGGGAGCCCTCCTTGATGTTTCAGCCTCCTACCTACCCCCCATCCCTCTCACTGCTTCCAGGAAGACTTCCCTGGGGTTCCCAACTCCAGCCAGCCCTGCCTCACTGACATCTGTCAAAGCAAGGGGATGGGCCCCGTGCAGTAGCTCACGCCTGTAATCCCAGCACTTTGGGAGGCTGATGTGGGTGGATCACCTGAGGTCAGGAGTTCGAGACCAGCCTGGCCAACATGGCAAAACCCTGTCTCTACTAAAAATTCAAAAATTAGCCGGGCATGGTGGCATGCACCTGTAATCCCATCTACTCGGGAGGCTGAGGCAGGAGAATCACTTGAACCCAGCAGGTGGAGGTTGCAGTGAGCTGAGACTGCACCACTGCACTCCAGCCTGGGCAACAGAGCAAGACTCCGTCTCAAAAAAAAGAAGGCAAGGGGATTGGAATGAGGGGAATGAGGGTGAAACAGGGCATAACATCCCCTGAAACCCATGTTCTCAAAGTCACTGTGTGGTGGCTGCAACGTCAGGGAGGTGACCCCCAGTCCTCATCTTCAGCCACGACCCTGGGCTACATCCTGACTCCAGACTGAACCCTGACACTCCGCCTGAGACCTCCATCTCTGTTCCAGGCTTGTAGAGCGCTGGCCATGCCCAACCTGGTGCCCCTCCCCCTGCTTGCGCTAGACTCTGCATCTTCTCAGGAGAAGGAAGTGAGTGAACTCCTGATCCTCCATCCTTCCTGTCTGCTGGTAACTTCCTCCGTACCCACACAGCGACTGAGAATGTGGATCTCAGGGAGACCCAGAGTGTGCATGGTGAAGGGCCTGCTCCACCCCTCATTCCTCATCCCTTTGCTTTGACAGATGTCAGTGAGGCAGGGCTGGCTGGAGTCCACTGGCCGCTGAGGAGCCAGGGCTGGGTTCCAGTCCTGCCTGCTGACCTACCAGGGGCCCTAGACAAGCTCCTTCCCAATTCTGAGCCCCAGTCTCCCGACTTGTCCTGTGGATTCCCTGCCTTCCCAGATTTCCCAGGCTCACAGCAGGGTTTGGAGGTAGACTGAGGGTAAGGGTGAGGTCCAGACCCCCTGTGCCTGGTACGTAGTGTGTTGAATGAGTGGAAGCCTGGAGGTGGTGGGGGCTAGTGCTGACATGGAGAAAGGAAGAGAGAAGGCTCCACACTGGGAACAGGAAAAGGCACGGAAGCTGGAACCCAGAGGAGTGAGAGGGAGTTGGTGAGGCTGGAGTATCAAGGAGGCCTCCCTGGAGGAGGTGAAGGAGGTGAGGAGGCTGAGTGAGGGTAGAGTATCAGGGAGGCCTTCCTGGAAGAGGGGGCAGGAGATAGTGAGTGTGGCTGTGACACAAGGAGGCCTCCCTGGAGGAGGTGAGAAGAGACAGTGAGTGGGGCTGTGGCATAAGGAGGCCTCCCTGGAGGAGGTGAGAGGGACAGTGAGTGGGGCTGGAGCTTCGGGGAGAGCTTGGAAACCAGATGGCATAGCGAGGAGGAAGCCAAAGCTGGGAACACCCTCCAGGCCCCGCCAGGCTCCTCCCAGCAGGTGGCCCACCCCTCCGCCCCGTCCCCTCACTCCGCAAGCCATGTTTTTCCCTCCCGAATGTAAGTTCCATGAGATTAGGGCTCTCATCTGCCTTGTCTCCAAAAGATCATCAGTGCCTGGCGTGTGATAGGAACTCGATAAATATTTGTTGAATAAATGAGTGGTTGCCATAGTGATCGTTACAGCCCTGTCCCCATTAGACAGATGAAAAAGCAGCCGCAGAGACGCAACCCCATCAAGCCTCAGGCCCCAGCACACATAAGAGAATGAACTCCAGGGCTGGGAGCTCCTGCTCTTTGGCCCTAGGCAGGGCAGAAGCCATAGGCTGCCCGGGCCCATAAAATTTGCATATTTCCTAAAGGTTGCCATTCCAGCAAAAGGCCATCCTCCTTTACCCTTGAACACCTTTCCCTGCTTTTCTTAGATAGGTAGAGGGAGGCCCAGCGGGTGGGGATGGGCCCGGGGTCACCCAGCAAGTCGGGGCAGAAGGCTTCCTGTTCCAGCCTGAGCCCTGTTACCCGGTTTGGCGCCCAGGCTCTGAAGCCAGGCAGCCAGGCAGCACCCTTTCCTGGCGGGGAGCCCGTGAGCAGGTGGCCTCGCCTCTGTGTCTTGGGTTTTCCTCACTCGCAAAATGGGGTTCTAGTGGGTCTCACCTCACGCACGTGCTGAGATGCTGAGGAGGGAGTGCGCGTAAGGCACTCAGAACAGGGCCTGCCACGAAGGAGGCGCCGTAAAAGTGAGTTGTTGTTGTGCTGTCGCTGTTGTGATTGCTGGGACACGCTGTGGCCCAGATGGATGCGCGGGCGGGCGGAAGGCGGCTGCGAGGGCTGACGTCAGGCTCTCCGTCCCTCCCTCCCGCCTGGATCAAATTCAGGTGACTAAGCGTGTCTGCGAGGGAGGCGGCTGCCGGGGAAGGCCCAAGGTTCTTGCCGCGTGTCCGGGAGACAGGGCTTGGCGCCCCGGCCGCGCGTCTGCACAGGAGGGAATATGTGCACACGGGCTGTGGGCCTGGGGTGGTGGTGTGTGTCTGTGTGTGTTGTGGGCCCCGCACAGGAGCGCATCTGCATGGAGATGAAAACCTCGGTGTGATGTGTGTGTGTGCAGGTGTGCTTATGTGCGTGTGTGCCTGCAGGTCTCCGTGTACATATGCCCAGGGTAGGGGGGTGACCTGCACCCCTGGGGGTCCTGGGAGCCTGATCCCAGAGCTCATATCTGGACTTTCCCCCGTAGTCACTAGGGCCACCAGCCTGGCACTGCCTGCTAGGCTGGGTTCTGTGCCCCAGGCAGAAACTCAGGCCCATCTGGGGGCTCACGCAGGGGGTGTCTCAAGGCCCTTCCCAAGCTCAGGCCTCAGTAGATACTTTGTAGAAACTTAATTCGGTGGATAATTAGGGCCATGTGGGCAAACAGAAAGATGGACAGACAGGCTGGGACCCAGGCCCATGGTACAGCAAGGAATCCTATGGGCCGGGGCACTGGCTTAGTCCTGTGGCCAAGAATGGCCAGACTCAAGCCCTCCCTCTTTGGGAAAAACGACTTCAATCCCGTCCTCCCAGACTGGGGACCTGCTGCCTCGGACAAGTCATTGAGCCTCTTGGAGCCTCAGTTTCCTAACATGTGAATCAAACAGAGGGCCACCGTCCCGCCAACTCCCAGGGCGATGGGACGAACAGAATGGGGTGTGGACACAGGAGTAGTTTGTGCCAGAGCCCTGTTGGGCGGGGATGTGGCTGTGTCTAGAAGCATCCAAGAGAGCCTTAATGTACAAGGTCCAACCCCACCTCTGCCCCCGGCTCCAAGATGGCCTGGCACATACCCACCACCCAGGTTTCTCCTCCCAGGCTGTGCCCCACCCCCCAAGTGTCCGGCCACTCCCAAGGAATGTGGGTCCCTGGCTCCAGACGCCTGCTTGGCCTGGCTTCCTTCTCAGGACATGCTCCATCCAGCTGTATCCCTCAAAGGAGTCCCAGAGCAGGGCAGAGCAGGCAGACCCTGCTGCCATCCACGTGGGTTCGAGCAGCTGCACCTGGGAGGACTTCAGGCCCTGGTCAGGCCTCATTCCGAGCTCTGGAAGGCCGCTGTGAACCCCAGTGCCAGGCCGAGGCAGGGGACCAGCTACGTCCAGGCGAGGGGATGGACAGCCCTTACCAGCAGAGGACCGAACAGAAGGGAAAGCCGCAGAGGTGGCGGCCACCCAGACCAGACACAGAAGGTGGTCCTCACAGCCCTGGGCCGCCTCACTGGAGCCGTGTTTATAATCCTGACGAGTGTCTGGATGGCCCTGGCAACGGGTGCCCTCCGCAGCTCCCGCCCCCACCCAGGATGACTCAGTCCCCTTGAGGGAGGCCCAGGCGTCTGGTGCCAAGTCATGCTTGACGACTCCTGCTGTGAGGACGCCCGCTCCCACCATCCTTGGGGAGCCCCCAAGCACTGACGCGGGCTCTTGCCTCACTCAGCACAGTTACCCCCAGCGCATCGTCCTGGCCCACCCACAGAGGCTGATGGTCCTCAGGCCTCATCCTGTGCCCCTCCTCATCCTCCACACCAGGTCTGTGCCTCCAGCCCCACTCTTTCCAGCTAGCTGCCGCCTGCCCCTCCATGTTCCCGAGCACAGCTCAGATCCGACAGGGCCCAGATTCAACTCAGCATCTTCCCCAAACCTGCTCGTCCTCCATCTCCATTGCAAGATGGGTACCACATCCTCCCCATTCTTTTCTGACCCAGGCCAGCAATCCAGGAGCCCTCCTTGTCATTCGTCCTTTCCCTGTTGCCCAGCCTCACTCCCCACAACCCCACACTTACTCTCCACTCCAGCCACACCACAGCTTCCCAAACTGCAGACTCTGTCCCGCTGCCAGGCCTCTGTACAAGCTGTGCTTCTGCCAGGAACACACCTTCGTCTCCTCTGCGGCCTGGAGGACAGCTCAGCCACTGCCTCTTCTGAGAGCCCTCCCTGATCTCCCCACTACCAGCTGGGTGAGCTCACAAGCCGAACCCCTTAGAAGTCCGGATTCCGACTACTGCTTCATTCCCCGCCACACGGGTCTTCCCTGACTCCAGGCTCACACCTCCACCTCACCCTACCCCGTCCTCCACACCAGTTGCTAGAGGGAGGATTTCCAACATGCAAATGTGGTTACAGTTCTCCCAGACCTGGCCTTCCAGGAACTTGGAATGTCAGGGACAGAGGAGCAGAAGTGGCCTCAGATTGGGGGTAAAGGGGGCAGGGGGTCACAGGCTAGGAAGCAGCCAGGGACACGGACATCTGGGATGCAAGCACAAATAGTCACAGAGCACCTACTGTCTGCCAGGCTCTGTGCAAGCGTGTGTGGGGAGACACAGCAGTGAACCAAAAAGACCAAGTCTCTGCCCTCATATCGTTTAATTTCTCGTGGGGGCAAGGAGCAACAACCAAGAAAGCCAGTGATTCAGATATGATATGTCAAGTGGTACGTACTGTGAAGAAAAATACAGCAGAGTAAGAAGGATCGAGAGAAAGGGGCTGGGAGATGCTGCTGATAACACTGTGCTTCAGGAAGGTCTTTTGGGTGCAGGATTGGAGCAGACACCTGAAGGAAGGAAGGGGGAGGAGGCAGTGTAGCTATCTGGGGAAGGGCATCTCAGGCGCAGGGACCAGCAGGTGCAAACGCCATGGCGGGGACAGTGCTTGATCCGTATGAAGAACAGCAGGGAGGCTGACGTGGCTGGTGTGGAGTCTTACCCACGTAAGCGGCACCTGACAGCAAGAGGAGTTACATCTGGAGAGAAAGGCCCCTCATTCACTGTGCTGGCCTCAGGGATGGCTTCCTGGAGGAGGTGGCACCTGAGGTCTCTTCTGAGCACTCAGCAGGATTTCAGGACGAGGAGAGGATGGAAGTTCACACTATGCATAGCAGAGTCATTTCCTGGCTGGGACTCAGGGCTTGGTTTGGGGGTGAGGGTAGCTTGGTGGACAGAGCCCAGGAGGCCCCCAAAGGCAGGTGGAGGTTGTGAGCAGGGGAGTGCCTCAGTTAGGTGAGGTTAAAACGACTCCCGTGGCTGCTGTGAGGACTGACGGTGGGAGACCTAGGAGGAGGCGAAGGGTCCCCAGAGTGTGTGCGCCTGGGACGCTGTGGAGGATCAATTTGTATGTACTGGAGGAAAGAGGGCAGGGCTTGGCGCGGCCAGTGCCACTTCCCTGGGATCCTCCAGTGCACAAGCTGTGTGCCCCTCCCACACTCCTGTGCCCGCCCTGCGGACACCACCAAGGCGCGGCCCTGGGGCCTGTGACACACCCTTCGCTGCACAGCCCTGCAACGCCCTCAAGACTTGAGCACACCCCCTCCCCTGACAGGCACACGCCCGTGTCCGCGTGACCCGCCCTCACACACCACTCCATCCTGTCCTGCACCCCCCACGCAGACACAGGCACACTCCCGCGTCCACGTGACACACGCACACCCGCCTCCAAACAGCACACGCAGGTCCCCGCGCACGTGGACACCCCCCCCAGCCACCAGCCCTGCGCCTCCCGGGCCCCGAAGCCGCAGCGCCCGCCTCTGCCGCCCCCTCTCGCCCCAGCCAAGGCAGGACCCAGCGCAGCCAGAGCCGCGCGCCGCCGCCGCCCCATTCATCTCCCACCCCGCCCCCGGCTCCTGCAGGAAGACGCTCCGGAGGGCCGTGGGAGGAGCGCTCCGCGGAGAACCGCACGTGGGTGCCCCGGGCCGGGCCCACTCAGCACAGACGCGGCCTCCACCAGGAGCCGGGCGCGGGGGACGGTGCACCCGGGATGGATGCGGTCCGCAGACAGAAGCGGGGAAGAACGCAGACGGCGGGGCGCCCGCGGCGATGCAGTCCTGGCGGCCGGCGCAGACCCGAGCAGACTCCCCGAGGCACCCCGCACACCCGGCCCCGCAGACAGAAGGGGAAGGATCCCCGCCCTGACCAGATCCCGGCTCCCTCGTAGACGCGGCCTCGCAGACCCCCCGCCTCTCCCTTGCAGGCTCGGGGCAGGTGTTAAGGCGTTCGTCCTCCCGCTCCGAGCCCGCGTCCCCTCCCCGCTGATCCCTACCTGGGCGCCGGGCGACAGTCTCCGCGGCCCGGCGGGCGGCCCCGCTCGCTCCCGGCCCCGCCCCACCGCCTAGCTGGGGCCCAGATCGCCGAGCTCAGCCCGCGGGCGCCGCGGCTCCGGGCAGCGCTCGCTGCCCCGCCCACCGCCGCGCCCGGCTCGCGCTCATTGGTCGAGGCGAACGGCCCCGCCAGCGCCGCCCAATCGGAGCCTGGGACTCCCGCCCCCTCCTGGACTAAGGGTCCGCGGCGGGCGACGCCGGAGGGGCCCTCCCTGCCCTGCAGCAGGACCGACCTCGCCACGCCCCCGGCATCCTGGGGTCCTCGAAGTCCCTCCCGGCCGCGGCGCGGGCCCTTCGCCCGGGCCTGCAGGGGACGGTGGTTCCTCGCCAAACCCTTTGCACCCCCATCCCGGCCTGCGGGAGCCGGAGCGCCCCTCCCTCCCGGGCGAGGCGCGGTGCGTGCGAGGGAGGGGCGAGGCCCGGGGAGGAAGGCCTTGAACGGCAGGCCCAGGAGTGTAGCTTCTGCAGGGCGGGGGCAGGGAGGCCGAGAGGTTGCTTAGCATAGAGTGAAGTGCTTGCTCGGTGAGCAGGCGACAGGAATGGCCTAGCGGGGGCCGAGGGAATGGAGGGAGCTCAGCAGGACATGGTGACCTTCGCCGTGGCTGTTCCTGGGGACTCTGCCCCCACCTTTTCCCCTAATGCCTCTGCGTGTGAATCCTCTGGCACTACCACTTGCCCCATATCCTTCCCCCAAACCTGATCTCCTGTGTCCCTGTCTCGAAGTGGAGCCAGGAGCCTGGGAGTCACCTGCAGCCTCCCTGTTTCCTGCTCCAACCAGTCCATCGCCAGGCCCTGCCATGCTGCCTCTTAACTATACCTGGAATCGGCCCTCTCCTGTCCACCCCACTTCCCCTCCCTTAGCTCAGGCTGCCACCATCTTGTCCCTGATTGCTGCAGCAGCCTCCTCCCTGGCTTCCAGCCTCATCCAGTCTCACCTCCTACTAGCCTTTCCCTACCTGGCAGCCAGAGCAAGTTTTCAGGAACACAAGTCCACCGAGAGGCATTTCCTGTGGCTCACCTTGAGAATAGGTCTGATCAAGCCCTGTATGATCTTACTCACAACCACCTGCCTGTTGAATGCCTACTCATCTTTCAGGGCTCAATTCAATCCTGCTTCTGCCCAGAAACCTTCCCCATGACCTCCCCACTTCCCAGCATGGGTTAGTCGCCCCACCCAGGTACTTCCTTGGCATCTAGTACCTGCCTGTTCCTCATCGGGACTGGGAGCTCCTCGATGGCAAGCACTGTGCCTGATTTATCCAGCACACAGCCTGTCACATGGCATAGGTGCTCAATGGATGTTTGTTGAATGAATAATTCCAGCAACTTCTGGGTGTGGCTTTTGACCTCGTGGTTCAGGATAGCGGCTAGAGCTCCAGCAATCACATACGCATTCCGGGCAGTGGAGTGGAGAAAAGGATGAAGAAGAGGGCAGAGGGTCTGCACTAGCTCTCTTTTCAGGAAAGTTCTCAGAAGTTGCCACATGGTACTTTCACATACACCACTCGAGCTTACTCATGTGACCAGACCCAACTGCAAGAGGAAGCTGGGAACTGCAGCTTCCATTCTGGGCAGCCACATGCCCAACCGAGAACCACGGACTGAATTGCTACAGGGAGAACAGATATCCGGACTCTACCACTGAGAGGGTGGAAAGATTGAGGGGCAGAGCTCGACTGTATGCCAGGCGCTCTTTACAGGTCTTTCCTCAACCCTACTAAAAGCTATTATTGTCCAGGTGCAGTAGCTCAGGCCTGTAATCCCAGCACTTTGGAAGGCTGAGGTGGGCGTCTCATTTGAGCCCAGGAGTTCGAGACCAACCTGGATCACATAGTGAAACTCTGTCTCTATTAAAAAAAAAAAAAAAAAAAAATGCTGTTATTATCCTTAACTCACAGAGGAGGCTTGGAGAGTTAAACCACGTCCCCCAAGGGCACACAGTGAGCTGTGGCAGAGCTGCAATTGAAACTTGTCTTTTCCTTGCACACCAGACAGGCTGGAAAGTCAGGAAAGGGTGTGTTCTAGGAGCTACTGGAAGGAAATCTTTCGACAAGGAGGGCTTAGACAACAATGTCAGATTCTGTTAGGCCAAGCGGGATATGGGGCCCAAGTGTCTGCTTAGACTTGGCAACCAGGACACCGCCAGTGACCTTGGCAAGGGCACCTAGGAGAAGTGGTTGGGGTGGAGGCCAACTGCAGAGGAAAGTGTGGATTGGTCTTTCTGGAAAGGTTGCAGTGAGGGGAGAGTGGGCAGAGCTGCTGGGGAACCTGGGCCAGGAGGAGGCAGAAGAGGGGAACAGATATAGGGGTGGGAGAACAGAGGTGGCTTCTGCCGGTCAGCCTCTGGGCTGGGTGGTGAGGCTGAATACAGAGGAGGGGCTCTTTTCTGCTCACTCGGAAGGGAAGGGGGCAGGAAGTGCCAAAGCAGGTGTGTCTGGAGAAAGAAGGAGGTGCTGCCGAAGAGGAAGCGCCAGTCTTATAAAATCTAAGTGATCGATCGTGGTTGGGGAAGAGAGCAGAAGGCCAAGGCCCTGAGGGAGATGGCAGCAGCTGGCCTGTGTTGTCCAGTCCAGTAGCCGCTAGTCACATGTAACTATTTAAATTAATTAAAAGTAAATTGGGCAGTCATGGTGGCTCCCACCTCTAATCCCAGCACTTTGGGAG